CGAACTCCTGACCTTGAGCGATCCACCCGCCTCGGCCTCCCAGAGTGCTAGGATTACAGGCGTGAGCCACCGCGCCCGGTCATTGATTTTTTTTAAGTTGATTGTATATCAGGTCACTTTCTGAACTTGCTTAATAGTTGTAATTGTTGATTCTTTTAGTTTTTTTTGTTATTTGCAGATGGTGGTAGTTTGGTTTCAGCCCTTCGATATTTGAACTCTAATTTCTTTTTCTTGACATAAAGTATTGGCCAGAACTCCTAAACCATGTTGTTGGAGGACATCTGTTTCCTTGTTCTTAATATTAAGGGGAATTGGTCTGTTTTTGAATGAAGTATCATGCTTGCTGTGTTTTTTGGTTTATAACTTTTGGCAAGTAAGAGAGTTCCTATCTAAGTTTTCTAAGTTGTTTTTTTCCCTAATTATAAGTAGGTATTGAATTTTATCAAGCACTTTTTCTATGTCTACAGAGTTAAACACATGATTTTTGTCCTCCAACCATGAATGAATTTTGTGACATTGATGGATTTTCTTATGTTGAATCATCAATTTTACTTTATTTAGGGTTTTGCATATATGATTGTAAATGGAATTGATATCTAATCTTATTTTCTGGTTCTGGAAGCTCTCATCTGCTTTTGGAATTAAGGTCATTCAAAATGAGCCTTGCTCTCTTTTTCTTTTTTGGAAACAACTTGTACAAGATTATCTAGTTCTTAAAATGATTTGTGTTTTAAGAAGGGACCTCCGTGGGGCAAGATGAGTGCAGAAAGCCAGTCAGGATGGCATTGCAAAAGACGGTGATGCCTTTGGACTTTAGGATGAGGAAAAAGAAAAGATGATTGGCTGAAGTGGTATTCAGAGGTTCTGGAAGGACTACATTTGGAGGGATTTTGTGGCAGAGACCAAGCTGTCTTGGACCAAGTGCATGATTGATTAGCCATGTCTGCCAAGGACATAGGCATGCAAGGACAAAGACATCATGCATTTGACGTCCCTGGGATAGGGGCTGGAGGAAGAGGAACTTGGGAATGATGGGTTGGGAGTTACAGGGCTTGGGGCGGAGGGTGACTGGTTGGGAGGGGAATCTGAGCAGGGTGATGGTGGAGGAGAGGGGCACAGACATAGAGGTGGGGGTGCAGAGGGGGTTGCAATCCGGATTTAGCCCTTAGATACAGTGTTCAAAAATAAATTTGAGAGATTCCTGATAAAATTCAGAGTTTGCCTTCCTTGGAGAACTGGATGCTGGCCGCGTGGGACTCGTGTGTACAACACTGAGTGAGCACTGGGTGGAGGCCGCCTGGCCTGGACAGGGCACAGGGCTCCTGTAAGCCAAAGTCCCTATGCAGTCCTCTTCCTCTTGGCTCCTGGGGACCTTTGTATGATTTTGACACCTTTGGAATGGGGGATGGATGTTTGCAGGGCAGGTAGATGTCACCCCTTGTTCTAGCTCTGTGGACTTAATGGTGACTTCTGGAGCACTGTGTTGAGACACAGTCTGAGTTAGAGTCCTCAGCAGCTGGAGGGTAGGGGTTCCAGGACAGAGATGGAAACTGGGGTCAAGGGTCACCCAGTCAAGGAGGGACTGTAGAGGTGGGAATTGGCAAGGGTGTTTGTCTGGTGGTCTTGAGGACTCCTGCCCCTGAAGGATGGGGCCAGGACCGTCCTAAGCCTCACCGCCCCTCAGTCGTGCAGGTAGATGCTGAGAACTCTGCTGGGCAGACGGGGCTCTTCCTCTCGGCCTTGCTGGGCCACACCTCTGCGGTGCAGCTCCTGCTGGCCTTTGGTGCCAACCCCAACCAGTGAGTGGACCGGTGGTGATGCCCCCACACTCCCGGGGTTCTCTTCCCCTGAGGCCTCTCCCTCGTGACTCCTTTCCCATTCCTGGCGACCCTGCTTGTCCTCCCCGTTAATGCCTTCTCGTTCCCCAGTGACCACTCCCGTTCTGCTGCGTGATCCTCTCATCCCTTCAAAGACCCCATTGTGTCCTCAGTGACCCCTCCCATCCTGATACCCACCTCCCATGTTCACAGTGACTCCTCCCTTCCCTCAGGGCCCGATCTTGCCACTTTGGGGGCCGTTCCATGCCTTTCCTGATCCGTTCCCACCCTCATTGTTCCCCTGCAGCCGCTGCCTGGACCGCAGCACGCCCGTGCACGCGGGCGCCTTCTCCAGCTGCAGCCGGTGATGCTGCAGCTGCTGCAGGCAGGGGGCGACTTGCGTCTGCACGACCAGCAGGGTCGCACACCACGGGACTGGGCTGAGCAGGGTGGTGCCAAGCAGAGCTGGGAGGTGAGCAGTGGCCCAGATGGGGGCGGGGGCATCAGGGCCAGCATCCCCACCCGGCCTCACCCCGCCTGCCCCCATCCAGGTGCTGGGGATGTTACAGCTCTGCCGTGCCCGCGTATCAGCATTGGTGCATGGCAGTGAGCTGGCACTCATGGCATCTTTGGGCCAGTTGCAGGCCAGATCTGGGAACAGCCTACCTGGCTCCCTGTCCTCACTGTGGCAGGCAGACAGGTAACTGTCCACACCCTGAAGCCCTCCCACACCCCCACCATGCCCACCTACCCCAGACTTACCCTCGGCTTGCCCTTTACCCAGGGCACAGAGGCTAGAGCAGATCAGGAGATCCCCCCGGGTCCCGGCCTTGGGGTTCGGTCAGGTAAGCGGGAGAGGTTGCGGGAGTGGGAACCGCCCCTGTCACCTTTGTGCCTCATGGTCCTGCTCCCCACCCCAGCTGAGCAGCCTGTGGCCACTGGGGCTAGTAACGAGCATACCCCTCGCGGACCCCAAGGAGCTGCTGCCAGCCCAGGGTGAACCCGACCGCACCTACGAGAGCAGCTCCCACACCCTCATGGCCAAGTGAGAGCCCCCTCCTATGCCCTGGCAGAGTCCCCTCATGAGGAAAGCCCCCCTGGTCTCAGACTGCTGCTTTCTCCCCCTCCCCATTCTCCAGCCTCCTGTAGAGGGGCCACCCCGTGACCGTGCGGCAGCTGAAGGCCCCTGGAGCCCAGCCTGATGTGCTGCTGGCTGACCTGCGGCACTGCAGGTAGTCACCCAGCCTCCCGCCCGGCCTGGTCCCCTGGCCTGTCTCCTGCCTGCCCTCCCAACTCAAGTGTTTCATAAAACAGACGACCAGGGAGTGTGGCAATAGCCACGGTTACAGTCTGCACTTCGGGGCCAGCACCTGGCATAGAGCGCTCCTGCTGGGGTGATCCTACCCCACTGGAAAGTGGGCACCCAGTTGTGTGTGCCATGTCCTGTAGGCCCCAGAGAGGAGGTGGCGTGGGAGGGGTACCGCGGATGGGGCATGAAGCGGGTGCTGGCTCTACCCCTGCTGGCCTCTGTGACCTGGCCTCTCAGTTTCCCCTTTGTCTGGAGGCTGGTACAGATCGTCTGCCCCTGGCACGCGGTGGGTGGTCTGTGCCCAGGAGCAGCTCCCACCCTGTGTGGTTTGGGGCCTGCTTGTGAGTGGCCTGCTCTCCTCCTGCCCAGCACCCTGCACCACCCCAAGCTGTTGCTGCTGATGGCGCTGAGCCCCTCAGCGGACCTGTCAGGGCTGTGCCTTCTCTTCGAGCCTGTGTGGCTGGGCTCCCTGCACGCGATGCTGCACCTTCGGGGACCGAGGGAGGAGGCGCCCCAGCCTGTGCCAGGCCTGCTGCCGGGCCAGCTGCTGCTGCAGGTGCTGGAGGCCCTGCTGTTCCTGCAGGCCCGCTGCCGTGCCCACGGCGGCCTCAGCTCCCACGCTGTGCAGCTGGTGCGGCCGGGCCTGGCTAAGGTGGGCCACCTGGAGCATGGGTGTTCGCTGCACCAGCGCTGGCTGTGGCCCAGGTGAGTGCCTGCCTCCCCTGCCTGCCCCTTGTCCCTGCCCAGCAGCCATCGGCTCACCAGTCTCCTTGGGCTCCACAGGCTACAGTGGGGCTACTCCTGGGGAGGCCCAGGCCCAGGGTTGCCCCCGCCTCCTGAACTGTATCCATGGCTGCCACTTGAGCTGATCTGCGGTGACATGCCTGCCACCACCTCAGACCTCTACAGCTTCTGCATCCTGGCCCAGGAGGTCTTCACTGGTCAGTGAGTGATTCTGTAACCTGTCCCACTGAGACACCCCACCTGTCGGGGTCCCCTAATCGTGCTTTCTCTCAGGAGAGCTGCCCTGGGCTGGAAGACAGGGGCCTGAGGTGAAGGCCAAGCTGGAGGCAGGTGAGAGCCCGGCCCTAGACCCCCTGGTACCAGCCCCCTACCAGGCCCTGATTCAGGCTGGGCTGGGCCTAAGGCCCGCCGACCGCTGGGGCAGCCTGCAGAATACTCGGTATCTGCTACGGGAGAGGCCATGGCCCAGGTACAGCACAGGTCATGGGGGGGGGGGCGTGGGTGGATGGAGCCGTGGAACCCCAGGCGGGGCCCATGTCCCCATCCTCAGCCTCCTTTCCACAGGACTCAGTTCCTGAGGTGAGCTCCCTGACCAAGCGGACCGCGCTGTCCTCTGCGCTCCAGGGCTCCCCGCCAGGTCAGAGGGCAAGGCGGGGATGCTGGTGGGTGCTGGGCACAGCTGAGCTGTGCCTCCCTCAGTCCAACCAACTGGTCTGTCCCCATAGAGAAACTATACCGTGAAGTGGCTCCCAGAGCCAAGACCACACCCAGGCCTGTGCCGCCTGTGATGTCCCCTGGCCCCATCCCATCCCAGGTAGGAGCCAGGGCAGGGCTGTAGGGGACCAAGAGAGCCGTGGGGCACCTGGGCAACCTAAGTCAACTCTCTGACATCACTCTCTGCAGGCCCTGGAGACTCCTGAGGTCGCGGGCCACAGCAAGGTCCAGAGTGGCGCAGCCCGGAGCTCGGGCAGCAGCTTGACTCTAGGCAGCAGCCCCAGCCACAGCCCCCACCTTTGCCCCGGCCCCAGCCACAGCCCCACAGCCAGGGTCGGCCTGCACTGCTGTCTGCAGCCCAGCGCAACAGTATGGATGCCCAGAGCCCCGCGGGACCATCGCTAACCTGGGATCCCTGCCCCCCAGAAGTCACCAACCCAAGCTCCCTGGCTGCCGCCCCTCTAACCGGGACCCCCAAGGACTCCCAGCTGCCCCCTGACCTGTGACCCCTGACCAACCCTGCTTCCCCAGGGCCCTGCCCTGCCTCCAGCCTTCAGGACTCAGCCTCCCTGCTGGGGATCCAGAGCTCTGTGCAGCAGTTTGAGAGGAAGTTTTCAGCCAAGATCCAAACTCTGCAGGGGCTGCAGCAGCACACACACAGGGTTACCCCGCTGGCGCCCCAGCCCTGTGAGCCCACCCCCTGCCTGCTGACCCACGGAGGCTTCCCACACCCTGGGAGGCTGCTGGCAGGGAAGGCCACGAGGGCAGGCTAAGCAGAGGTCCCTGAGCCCATCCTGTGCCCCACCCCACCCCCCCAGGCCCATTGGAGCTCCCATTGGAGCTTCATGGCTACCAGGTGACAGCTCCAGCCTTTTTCTCCCACAGGCGCCCAGCACTGAGCTGAGTGGAGGAAGTCTCTTCTCCAGCCTGCAGAAGTGAGAAATGGGGCCCTCGTGGGGGATCCCCGGCCCCTTCCTCATCCCTGAGGTAACCCTAGGTCTACCCATTCCCCGCTACTCCCCAGGATGGATCTGCTGGGGGAGATCACGGCGGAGCTTCAAAGTAGATGCCAACTCGCAGACAAGCCCAGCCTCGGCCCCACTGCTGACCCAGATTCCTCGGGTGCCCACGGCGCCCTCTCTGCAGATGCCGTCCAGGAGTAACTCCACCTAGTGCCTGCCCCAGAGGAAATAAAATGGTAAAGCCGCCCTTCCGCCTCTGTTTATTCATTCACTAAGTCTGGCCCAGCATGACACCAGCGGCCACATTTTCATCATTTTTATTCATTAATTTTGTCAGATGGTTTAGTGGGGTATGTGGGGAGAGAAGGGCAGGAGCTGTCCCCCCAGCCCCTGTGCACAGGTCAGGACATGCTGGGGGCTCCCGGAGGGAAAGGGAGGACAAGGTGTCAGCCTAGCCCTCCCTCAGATCTGTGCGAGGGCTCCCAGGACGGAAGATGGTGGGGGATGGGTGTACCCCTCAGCCCAGGGTAGGGAAGCTATGATTATTGGTTAGGGACCCACGTCAGAAGCAAGTTACAAAGTTAGAAACTTGGGGGAGGGGTCGGGAATGCAAGAAAATACAAAAAAGGGATTGGGCTGGGGTAAGGAGGGCGGAGGGAAGGGAGGAAGGGCCTCCCAGCTGTAGCTCAGCAGTAGCTTCGGGTCTGGCCCTCAGAGTGGAAGGACCAGCTGGGAGTGGGGTACGGGGGTGGGGGACCAGCCCCCTCCCCTCTTTGCCCTCCATTTCTGTACAAGGACCCTCGGTGGAGCTCGCCCCCCCTCCCGTAGGCTGGTGGGGCTGCCCTGTAGACCAGGAGTGGCTCGGGAGGCCCCCAGGGCGCAGGCACCCTGTGAGGGGTGCGGGGCCCCCAGGGTGCCCGCTGTTTTTGAGGGAGGCGGGGGGCTGGGGGGCCGGGATCTGAACGGCTTCGGGGGTGGGCAGGAGGGGAAGAGGAGGAGGAAGAGGCAGGTGAGGGACCCCTGGGCCCTAGGGATAGGTTGACATAGAGGGGCTCAGGCTGGATGGGGCGCCGGGCAGGGTGCTGGGGGGCCGAGTAGCCAAGGTGTTCAGGGGGGAAGCAGGAGGGGGGTGGTGGGTAGTTGAGCAGGAAGTTGGGGGACCTGTGGAGCGGTGGTGATTGGCCAACCATGCCATATGAGGCATTGAGCCTGTCAGAGGGCATAGAGCGAAAGGGACTCCAGGACCGGGTGGGGCCAGAATAGGGGGACCCTTCACCTGCCCCGATCTCATAGTATAGGTTCTCTCCCCTGTCGAGTGGTGCAGGAGGGCCCAGGGAGCTCCTCCAGACTGGGGCTGGGGAGCTAGGCTGGAAGGATGGGGGGCCCATGGGGTATAAGCCTGGTTTGGGGACCCCAAGGAAGGGTGGCAGGCACTCCCTCGGGGCTGGGGAAAAACCGGGGGTAGGAACCTGTGAGGGGACAGAACACGGGGACTGGGCTGCTGTCTCTGGCATATCCCTGCACCCACCACCTGCCCTGAGCTGGGCACTGACCTGGGCAGGGCCTCTGAGTCCCCTTCTTGAGGTCCCCATGGGCCGCTGGCCCCTCACCAGGCTCCCATCACTTTGCTGCCTCGGTAAGTAGGATGGGGGACCCAGGGCCCAGGCACCCTGCTGGGCTAGGGAGTGGGGGGGTGGCCCACTCCCTGAGGTCCCCAGGGGCTCCCCACCCACCTCCAGGGACAGTGAGCGGCGGAAAGGGGAGTGCGGAGCAGGTGAGGTGCCCCCGTGCTCCTGTTGGCTCTGTCGCTCGGCCACCTGCTGAGCCCGCTCAGCCAGGGCCAGGGCCATGAGGCGTGCTGGGTTCTTGGGGGGTGGCGGTGGGGCACCCCCAGGGCGCAGGAGGGTCAGGGGTCGGGGCAGCAACGGTGAATCCGTACCAGGACCTACACAGAAGGGAATGGGAAGGGCTCAGCCGGGTCCTTGGGCGGCCTCAGGGTCTGCGAGAGTGTGGGGTGGGCTGAGCAGGACTCACCATGCTGGCTCTGGGCTCCCCGGGGACTAGGCGCAGCCAGCTTGCTGCAGATCTCCTGTTGGCAGTGGTCGCTCAGCTGAGCCTCGGCTCCACGCAGCAGCAGGGGGATGAGATGGGGGCGCAGGCTCGGGCCGGGGCTGAGAGCTGGTGTTGGGGAGACTGAGGCAGGCGCTCCCCCAGCCCCCAGCAGTTCTAGGACAGCGGGTGGCACCGATACAGCAAGGGGCTCCGAGATGTCCAGGGCAGTGGGCGAAGCAGGGCTGGTGGGCTCACGGGGCGAGAGGGCCTGTGGGGTTGCCCTGGGTGGGAAGGCAGAGGCAGGGGCGGGGGGTGCTGGGCTCGCAGGAGGTGCAGGATCCCCTGGGGTGGGGCTGCTGCAGCGGAAGGTAAGGGGATCAAAGTCGAGCCCCCGGAGTCCCTCCAGGCAGCGGGGTGGGCTGAAGTCCAGCTCGTCGCCATCATCTAGCCAGGCTGAGGTCCGGTGCGAGGGGGACCCGGAGAGTGCCCCCAGCCCAGCTGCTGAGGATGAAGAGGATGAGGAGGAGGCCGAGGAGGAGGACGACGAGGAGGAGGAGGATGAGGACAGGCTCTCGCAGGAGCCGGCAGGTGCTGGGCCCACGGGGAAAGCATCGCTGCTGGAGTGGGGTCGCCGCAGCCTGTGCAGCCTCTGGAGGCCTGGGAGGGTGGAGGTGGGGGCAGTTAGGGGTCAGGGGTCAGAGCTTTACATACAGGGCACACAGCTCAGCAGAAAGCTGGGGAAATAACATGAAGAGGCGCGTCCGCGGACAGGCCCACGATGGCTATGAATCCGGGAAGAGCTGTTCAGACGCGCGGGTGATAAGGCAACAGCGTGAAGAGAGCCACTCCAGGGCCAAAGCGGGAATGGAGTCTGGCAGCCCCCCCCGCCGCCGCGAGCTTGAGACCAACAAACCAGTGCAAACGGGACAGCCGCTTTTGGAAAACGACCGGGCCCAGTCCGGTACAGTTGAACTTGTGCATGGCCTACAGCACAGCGCCTTCACTCCTGGGAGTGCGGCACAGCTATCTCCCAGGAGCATGAGGCTGGCAGGGATTTCCCATTAGGGCCCCCAGACCCATTGGCAGTAGGCTGGATAAGCACTCGCGTGGGTATCCACGCACGGAGCTCTAGAAGCCACGGAGAAGAATGAGCCTGAGCTACAGTCAGCAACGTGGGTGGACGGGAGTTTGTAACGTAGCGGTGGGTAGAAAAGTTGGGGTCCACATGCAGTGTGAGACCCCCTTTCTTAACGACATCCTTGAAATACAGTTTCGAAATGACTAGAGCTGAGCGCTGTTACCTACACGTACACCTGCGTCGGATAAAACCCTAACAGCAAGGGAACGAGGACCATCGCGGTCAGCGGATGCCGCTGCTGGGAGGCAGCAGCTGGGCGAGGGGAGAGCCCACAGTAAGGTACTGGGGCTCCTCTGGGTCTGGCTAGGGGGTTCCTGGGTGTTCGTAAAAAATATTATCTAAAATTATTTTCAAAAGGAATGAACACATACAAGACTGTTTTAAAGGGCCCTGCATGAACCGTGTGTGGTGTGTAATGACCCAAAGGTGATGCTTTCTCTAACTCATTGCACCTGAGTCCAGACCAAAATTTTTAAAAACCCCAGGCCCCTAAGTGTGCAGTGCGGCGTTTGAAAGCCAGACCAGGCCCCAGCTCCCCCCAGCTCCGCTTGAGCACAGGTAGGGCCCGCCCTGTGCTCACCAGCCCCGCTGGCCTGCGATGACAGGGACTCCTCGCTCTTGGCAGATCTCAGTGTGACCGTGTCAGGTCGGCTGCCTGTGAGGAAACATAGGAGGGGTCGGGGAGGAAGGCGGACGCGCCACAGACCACCCCCACCCCGCCATGCCAACCGCAGGGCCTCTCACCTGAAGGCTGTGGTGGGGCGCGGCTGCCTCCCAGCCAGGGCAGGGGCTTCTTTCGAGGGACACTGGGGCCCCGGCCCAGTGCAAAGAATGTCCTCCAGCTGCTACCCCCTGGCTTGCGCTGTTTCTCCCCTCTCTCCCCTTTCCTCCTGGGGTGTGGGTGAGAAACAGGAGGCAGCCCGAGGAACCAGGGCCTGCAGCCTGCCCTCTCCCGTCCCCCAGCACCCCACTCACCTTTCCGCAGGTGAGGCCGGGGCCTTGGGAGCTGTGGGCTCAGTGGGTGTCCCCAGCCGGCCCTGGGTGCGAGCCTGGGCTTCTTCCAGCGTCAGCAGGCGAGTGGAGGGACTGCTGCCCGCAAGGGACTTGGGCCTGGGGAGGAGGCAGCGGCCTGGGGAGTTTGGAAAGGAGGGAGCTGTCAGCTCTGGGGCCACCCAAGGCCACAGGCAAAGCCAAGCGCTACAGCCCAAGCCCCTGCCCGGCCCGCAGCGTGCCCACCCGGGCTGGCAAGGCAGGGGCCAGAGTGGATCAGGCGGGAATGGGCGGGCAGCAGGCAGGTGAGGAGGGGTGAGGCAGAACGAGCTGATGAGGAGGCAGCTCCCAGCAGCCAGGGAGGGCAGAGGCTCTGGCTTGTTACCTCGGGCCAGGGGGCCCTCCGACGCGCTGCATCCTGACTGGGCTGGGGTCCGGGGCAGGGCGGGGAGTCTGGGCAGGGCCGGGGCGGGGTCAAGTCTGGGGACCTCCCACCTCCTCCCAGGTGGACCCATGGCCCCAAGCGCCCCCAGGAGCTACAAGGGGTGAAGGAAGAACGGCGTCCGGGCCAAGAAGTGGGAATCCTGAGCGTAGGAGCTGAAATGAGAAGGAGGGGGGCGCGGGGAGGGATAGGCGGGGCGGGGTCCTCAAGGAGCCGGGAGGGCAGTCCAGCTCCAGTGGGGCCGGGACAGGGATGGGCGCCCACCTGCCCTCCCCCTGCAGCCCTGACAAGGAGGGGGCGGTAGCCAGGACGCCAGGGGCTGTGACGGGCATACCTGCAGGGTCAAGACCAGCAGAGGTGAAGGTGTCGCTGAACAGGACGTCCACGTGGGTGAGCAGAAATTCTACCACCACTGACTGCACCCGAACTTCCCGGAAGGCTGCCGCCCCGCCCAGCCCCACCGACTCCAGCTCCATGGACCTGATGGGGGAAGAGGGAGGCCAGACGCCTTGAGCCCCACCGGCAGGTTCTGGCTAGGCCAAGTGGGAAGCCACGAGGCAACACCTCTGACTTTCTCCA